ATACCAATATTTGTATTCATCATTTTATAATCGATAAATACTGTAGTATTGCAAAATGTTAAAAACCATTTAATGAATAATATTAGTATAAAAATTTCACCCCGTGCATGCGCGCGGGTTATCATCTAGTCCAATGTTAAGCAAAAAGAAAAAAACATGATAAGGAATTCTCAATAAAATATTAATATATATTAAATATGCAGGTATTTATTACAAATAAAGAATTGTTACTTTTAATGCTGTGATTCATATTATATCAGCACATTTATGTATTTTGTTCTTAGTGATATAATGTTCAACTAGATGATGATCTGCACGCGCGAGTTTTTTTTTTTTAAACAAATTATATATGTATTTTATACTGTTTAGTTTTATGTAATTTTAGGTTTGTTCATATTTATTTTATGTGACGAAATAACATAATTAAAATTATATTTATATTAATAGTTTTTAAAAAGCGTATTATAGATATATCTTCGGTGAAAACATTAAATTGGTTATCTGATTCTAAATCCGTAAAGATCTAAAATGAACCCAAACCAAAATTTATAAATATTCGAATGGAAATTAATTCTTTTACCTAAAAACTTGAGACCTAAACAAACCCGAACTGTATTCAGATGGTTCCGAATGCTCACCCATAATTTAAAGTTTATCATATAATGAATATAGATAATGAAAACGTAAAGTTGGTCAATTTAATAGTATTGAATTCATAGTATTGAAATAACTTTGGTTAATAGTATTGATATAAATACTAATAGATATAGGTTAATGAATTGTCTGCAAATAATTGACATAAATAAAGATATATAATATAGTTGGTTTTATAATGAAAGTATACTACATATTTATAAATTAATATATTAGTTAAATAATATAATGGATACATAGAAATATTCAAACTGGAAATATTAAATGAGATATGGTAAAAAAGATTACGGTTGTTAGTGAAAGATTATTTTAAAAAATATTTTATTAAATGTTGAATTAATAATTAATAATATGATATCCAACTTTAAAATCTACATAGAAAAAGTTGTAATATTTCTGTTTTAATAATATAGATTGATAAAATAAACGAAATTACCGAAAATGATATACAATTTGTAGCAGAGAGACCGAATGAAGTAACTGAAATATATAAATTGATGATAAAAACTAATAATATAATTATTAATGAGATGTTACAAAAAAAAAATTATTATTAATGAGAAAATTTCACTTTTATCTTTTTTATTAGTATAATTATTTTTTAATTTTTTTTGTCAACCGTCCATTTACTTTAGATCAAGTGATGACTAGTCGGGTCGATTCTCTGAGGAGATACTCGTCTGGCCGGATCTGATAGTACAATTATTCACCTTCTCTTCTTTTTTTTATTTATCTTTTTACCTTATTAAGGAAAGTTTTACTTTTCCTTTAGTTGGTACCATTATTCATATACCTCTTAGGTTGTTCTCATTCCTTTTTGCCCAACATGTCTGGAGGTTATGGGTCGCCTATTCTCTTAGCGGTCCATGGTGATTCCTCCTTAGTCCGGCGGTTTAGCGAGGATTTACCAACTTTCATCAAGGTTTGTTATCTCTCCCCTCCTAACGGTTAGAGTCCAGAGCTTCATGGTCAGTTAAATTACGAGCTTGAGGATATTATCAAAAACTAGCTACTCCGGTGATGTGATGAGAAGACCGGCATCCGAGACAACGAGGTAAGAGGTAGACTCCACCATGTCGTGGTTAACATCAACGGTTAAAATGGAGATTGATTTTCTAAAAATTCCGGAATGGTCGGTGTATTTGGCGAGCAAAGCTAGTCTTGTGATGTTTGATTTAGGGAAATTTTGGTTGAATCAAGTTTGTAATGGATACTGAAATCCGGTTTTTCCGGGTCGATTAATAATAGTATCTAAATTGTATCCCCAAAAAACAAGATGGTTTCATAATATAGTGACAGAACCAGCTTCCGCTTATTTCTCAATACGTTCCTGCAAAAGCACAGAGAGTTTCGGACTCAGAGAGATGAGGACGAAGTTTGTTTCGACGACAACGTTTAGTTTTTTTAATTAGGTCTATGGGTGCACAATTACCCCAATTGGATTTACCCAAATGAATGTAGACTTTATAACTATCAATCCATATTGGACCCAATTATAATTTGAAAGGTAAAAACTCAACCCACTAGTTGTGGGTTTGGGTAGACTCATGAGTCCATATTAATATCCCTACTCTTGCTTGTGGGTGGGCATGTGATTGAGCTTGCGTTGTAGTTGGCGATATTTATGTTTTCAAACGTTTACATTATTAGAAGTTAAAAAAAGACAGAGATAACTATTTATTGTTTTGTTTTCTTTTGCGAAATATTCAAAAAAAAACTACAAGTTGACAAACTTTCGTAAGATTATCGTGGAAAGGAGACATCCTTTCATGTTATATGAAATTATGTACACGTTTTGTACCATAAAAAGTAACTACGTCAGAGAATAATTATGGTGGTTATTAGATGAAGGGTTGTTTTCCATTTGGTTACTTTTTAGCAAATAATAGTATCACTTTTCTTTCTTCGTGATTAATTCCAACCTAATTGTTGTATAAACCCTTTGCAAGAAAACGATCATAAAATTTAATTTTTATGTACATGTACAAATGCAAACATTAATTTGGTATGAACGTTGTGAAAATGAGAGGTCCATATATATCCTTTATATATTAAAAGAAAAATATTACAACATTTTAAATATAATACATGTTATCATTATAATGTTTTTTTCAAAATCTTTAAAGAATTATGTTGATGCACTAAATATATATATTATAGTTTTTATTAAACTAAGGATAAAATAATTAATATTCTTCTTTATTTAAATAAAAGATACGATATTACTTAATATGCTTAATATTAGAATTTAATAACAGTTTTGTGTATCCTTCATCCTTTATGTATAATTTTATATTATTAACATAAAATAAAAAATATATTAATCATATAATAAATTTTTTTCGTATATGTCCTTATTAAAAATTAAATTGATGAAAAAATTAAATTGATGATTAATAGTTTAAATTTTTTATTATAAGAACGTATAAATGACCATAAAATCATATAAATAAAAAAACTCATTTAATATATATTCAAAGAAGGTATATATATATGTGTGTACTAAATAAAATACATAAATATTTTAATTTTAAAAAATTTGAATTGAAGAAGAATTAATAACTTAAATTTTAATTTTAAAATTTGGAGTGAATTTTCAAAACCGACTATAAATTATTATAATTGTTAAAAATATCACATTGAAAATTTTGTTATCATGGATTCAGAATTTTTTATATAAAAAGATATAAATAATCATAAAAATCACATTTTTGAACAAAAAAAGTAATTCTCTATACAATGTTCATCCCACGTTTTATTGGGTGTAAGATGTAAATATATATACATAAATTTGAATAGTAGTCTGACCATTGTGGAACTGAAAGTGCATTACAGATATAAGTTATAACTAGACAGACTGACATAGCCGTGTTTGAAAAGCCTTGATCTTAGTTCTCGATATACCCCATCGTCATACATTGTTTTTTTTTTTTTTGGTCAAAAGACTTTCATATTAAAGTGCAACTGTGCAAGAAAATAAATATGTGAGTTTTCACTCATAAGATTGAAAAAGTTTGACTCAATCAAAGGGTATAAAGAGACCCTAGATAAAGATTCACATTTGAATCTTAGAAAGCAATATAGGTTAAATCGTCATACATTGTTTCGTCGTCGAAGCTTACACTAGTCTAACCGCTTACTTTATATGTCTAGGTTGTAAACCTACCTCATGAAAATTACGTGTAACTTAATCCCTTCATCAACATTAAGCAAGGCAACTACTAACACCAAAGTTGTTCCCAGCATATTTATGAATAAGTTATTAAGGGTCTCAATTATTAAAGACCCGAATTATGATATTTGTAGACGAAACTGACATCTATCCATATTATTAAAACTAAAATACATTTTAGTATTGTTTGAAAACAATAATAGTAGGATAAATGATAATTATTTGGAAACATAGATTGTAAATTAACTATTTCCTTTTATTCGCACATTTAACCATTGTATTAATAATAAATTAAATACTTTCTTTTTATATTTTCTCTTATATTTCTTTTTATTTATAGATTCTACCATTATATTTAAAATCAATTTGAATTAATTAGCTACAATGTTTTTTCTTTCTTTGTGGTGAAAATTAAAACACAAACTGAAATAGTATATATTATATAATTTGTTTTAAATATATTTAAATATAAAATTTCGAGAGTTCAATTTTCAAGAAAACAAAATATCACAAAACTGATGATAATTTATAGAAAACTAATGCAAAAAAATTAATTTTCAGTATGCTGTTTTATTTTAAAATAAATAAACAAAAACAACATGTTAATATATGAATAGCAATTACATTAAATTGCATCAAATTATAAAATTTCTAATATAATATTATTTAAAATAAAAAAAATATTACTAAACATTTATATTATAAAATAATATGTTCTACTCTATATGTAAATTGCAAAACATAAAAAATAATATTTTTATACAACCAACTGTTTATGAGTTTACGTTGAACACAAGTTAAATCAAACACCCGCACAGGAGTGCGTATCAAGTTCTAATTCTTTTTAAAACTCCATGTCAATATAAAACAAAATACTAACTACTAAACTAAACTATAGGTACAACGAAAGACAATAACTGTGTTTCAGCTTTGCATTTCTTGCTTCACGAGACCAACAAACGAACTTCAAAACTCAAAAAAGGTTTGAACTTTTCACAGATTTACCTTTTTTTCTACACTAATTCTAAACCTGAAGTTTTTAATATTCTACCTTAAAATTCACAGAGAATTGAGAAAAAAAAGAAAAACAGAGCTTTCTTGTGAGTGCTTAGATTCCTCAAAGACTGTATTGCAAATGAAACTAATTTTGATTAATAATCTCAGTTTCTTAAAAATGGCGGAAGAAGGTTTATTACAACCTCATACAGAAGAGCTATTAGCTTCTCCTGATAATTCTTCTTCACTTATGTTTGAAATATCAAATGTCTCCACAAGACCTTTCATTCTTGCCTTCACTGCCTCTTCTTGCAGCGCCTTTTCCTTTGGATGCATTGTGAGTTCTAGATCTAACTTTTAATTAGTAATTTCCCTTTAATTTTGTTAGCTGAGAGTTTGAGACTATAAAGGTTCATGCATGCTTAAATTTCAGTTAACTAATATTTTTTCTCAAAATATTTATAGAATTAAATTTAAAACCAATTGAGAATGAGTAGATTAACCAAAATTATTGTATTATATATTGATGTTGATACTTTTAAAATTGTTATATAAAATTCTAATATAACATTTCAAGATGATGAGTCTTATCGATTCATCTTGAATTAACTCATACTTTATGACTGGTAATAAATCTTTTATGAGTAAGATAACTGGATCAACAAACAAAACTGATACAATGATATATATATATATATATATATAATTTTATTATATATATGAGTTCTCAGCTCAAAACTGATTTACAATTAATATATTGGTTTACCTTTTTGTATATTAATATCGGTCTGGTAAAACTTTCTATGTGAAATCATGACAATTTTTCGTAACAGGTTGGATATACAGCACCTACACAGTCAAGTATCATGAAACACTACAAGAAAGAGGCCTTTATACCGACACTCAATTTTGTCAGAATCTCGTCGGAAGACCTTACCTCCGAGGATTTTCCGAGAACACTCAATTGGTCGGGGTTTGACGGTCGGAAATAATAGGAAGTCGGTATGTTGTCGGAATTTAACGATAAAACGTGTTCTCGGATAATTTCTCGCTAATGATTGTCGGTAATTANCACTACAAGAAAGAGGCCTTTATACCGACACTCAATTTTGTCAGAATCTCGTCGGAAGACCTTACCTCCGAGGATTTTCCGAGAACACTCAATTGGTCGGGGTTTGACGGTCGGAAATAATAGGAAGTCGGTATGTTGTCGGAATTTAACGATAAAACGTGTTCTCGGATAATTTCTCGCTAATGATTGTCGGTAATTACCTTCACACTTCCGACAAATTTAATAAATTTAAACAAAAAAAAAAGAAACGCAAAAATAACAAAAAAAATATAAATAAAACATAAAATCATATAAAAATCAAATATTATTACATAAAAATTAAAATGAACATTAAACTTATACTTGTTTAAAAACAAAAAACAACAAAAACATTAAAGCTATACTAAAGCTAAATATACTAAAGGATCTACGGGTTTGTGGCGGTGCTAGAAGAAATAACGACGGTGGTGGCAATTGAAGAAACAGTGACGGTGATAAAATAAATGGCGACTGTAGTGGCGTTGATGGTGGCTGTGGAAAACCGGTGACTGATGGTGGTGGCCGTGGAAAAACAGATCTGAGAGTAGAAGGAAAAACAGATCTTCAATCATGGAGGCGTGAAAGGAAAGGCGACGGAGGCGGATGTAGAAGAAACAGTGGTGTTAGTGAAAAGTGGAGAGTTGGCAACAGCAGTTGTCATTTCAAAGAAGAAACAGATCTGAGTAGAGATCTGAGAGATAGTTGGAGTAGAAGGAAGAAGAAGATAGAAAAAGAACGACAGAGGAAATTAAGAAATAGACAACTTATAATTGTGATTGATGAGAAGAAGTTGAGGAACAAGATTGCAAGAGCAGAGAAGATAAGTTAAAGAAGAAAAGAATCTTAAAGAGAGAAGAAAAGTAAAAGAAAACGGAAAGAACTGTAAAGATAAATAATGGGAAAGATGATAAAATAAATTGAATGGCTGTAAAATATCTTCGTAATAATTAACTGATAAAATTAATAGTAAAGTAATTAAAACTTAAAATAGTATGTGGTTCCGATGAATTTGTGTCAACTTTATACTTCTTCCCGACGAACAAATATTCTTGTCGGTAAATAAATTTTTTCCGAGAAAGTTCTGAGAAATATTTTCCGATAAAATTGTGACAAACTCTTTATATCGGAAATTCCTGATCAGATTCCGACAAATTCGTTTATTGTCGGTAAATTCTCTGAAGTCCGTCGCTAAGTCTCCGACAACAGAGATTCTCGGAAATTTTAGTCGGAGTTTACATCATTTTCTTGTAGTGAAAGACTTGAATATATCCATAGCTGATGCAAGTTTAAAACCTTTGTCTATTTTGTTTGTCTCCGGTTAACCGTTTTAAATATTATTATTATTATTCTTTTGTCGTTCTATCAGTTTTCACTTTTTGGATCCATATTGACTGCCGGAGTAATCATTGGAGCATTAATCTGTGGAAAACTAACAGATTTGGTTGGTCGTGTCTACGTAAGTTTCCAACTAAAGAAAACTCATTCTCACTACAAACTGAATACAATCATGGAGATAATCATCTTTTGTGATTCTCCTTGTATTAGACAATGTGGATTACGAACATCCTGGTTCTTATTGGCTGGCTTGCTATTGCATTTCCCAGGGTTTGCTATTTTCTGAGTTTTTGTTTTCTTATTTGTTTTGTTTTAAGTTTTAATAATTAAATACGGTCAGATTTATTGTTAAATAAGTTACTCTAATTCCTTACCTCCTTAATTTGTATTTCATTATTTTGAACAAAGAGTGTTTGGCTGCTCGATCTGGGAAGGCTATTGCAAGGCATCTCGGTCGGAATAACCTCATATTTGGTATGAATAAATAAAACTACAGGCGTTTGATTATCATCTTTTAGGTTTGAAAAAAAAAATAATTCTTTTAGGTTTGAATATGTTTTAGGGGATTAAATAGTTTTTTAATAAAAAACTTCTCTCATCACCTTTTTTTTTTGGAAATTTAGTCATTATATAAGTCTCTCTTCTTTTCTATCGATTTGAAGTTAGTAAAATAAAAATTAGTCTCAATAACCAAAAAATACATAATTCACTATCCAACTAAAATCTCATCTCTCTCCCCATTTCTCTTGCTATCTCTCTTTTTTTTATTTCTAAAAATCTAATTTTCCTTTTATGACTATTTCACAAATAACCCCTTCACAAAACATACTTTTGACAGCAAATTCCTTTATAAATTAAAAATATCCCTTTGTGACAACTATAATAGTAAACTAATGTAGCGAAAGTTACGATAACATCTTATTTAATATAAGAGTATCTAAGAATCGATATCTTCTTGATTCTTTGAAAACTCTCAAATTCTAGTCGAAATAAGAAAATAAAAAGTTTCAAACCTCTATTTTATTAATTAAATCATAAGCTGAATACAAACTTAAACCAATATATTTTTTAGAAAACCAATAAACCCTAAAATAGTAAAAATAATTGTCTAAATAAGTATTAAAATAAATAATAGATATTTAAAAATATCTCAAATATTCATATGTATTATTCTCTTCGGATTAATCCTCGAATTTTAACCGTGGTCTTCGATTCCAAAACCTTGTCCACGAGAACCAAACTTTTCTTTTTCTTTTTTCTAAACCTTCCAGTCATAAAATTCTTCATGTTGCCTAACCCGCCGGTGACAAATTCCTCACACCACCAAATATATTGTTGCTTTGTGTCAAGGGTTCTTATTTGCGAACAAATAATTCCAACACATGTTAAATGGATAATCCCATTCTTAACTTCACGGCAACATTAGAAAAAACTTTCAACGTGTGCCTTCTCCATATGACGTTCCAGTCATCACAACATGGTTTGTTGACTGTTAGATTCTCCATTGGATTGACATAGTCCTCCATGTCATAGATATCTTCTACCAATACCAAACAACAAATGGACCGATTGGAATATTCTTCTTCGCCTTATCTTGGATAAAGCTCTTGTCATCTTCATAAATAACAAAACTGGATCTCCATGAATTTGTCGCATCTCCTCACAGAGATAATCAGATGAAACAAACGGATTATCATTGTAGGATACTAAAAAAGCCCAAACGATATGGTAGTGAAAAAACATAATCAAACTGTGATTTAGAAAATTAAAGTGTCAGCTATACCAACTGATATATCGAAACCTAAGATAACATAAGATGTTATTTAGTTTAAGAATATCAAAGATGGATGTCTTTTTGATTCGTTGAGAACTTTCATTTAGCAGTAACAAGAAAATAAAGGGTTTCAAATCCCTATTTATTAATCAAATCAGAAACTAAAAAAACTTAAGTCTAAATTGTTATATATAAGAAAACCATAAAAACCTAAAATAATAAACATAATTATCGAAATAACTAATAAATAAATAAAAAATATTTAGAAATATCTCAACTATTTATCTGCATCATAAACTGTATAACTTGTATCATAGTGTTTGAATAAATTAATCATTTTTGATATATATTGTATATAAGTATATCCAATATTGGAGTGCGCTTTTTATATTTGGTGCATGGTTTTGATGGTTTCAAGATTCAAGAATACTTTTTTAGTGTTCTGTGATCACGGTTTCTGTTGGTAACAAAAAAATATGTGTGTTTAGGTTCATTTGGTATGATAAACTTGTATTACATCATAGTATCTGATAAATCATTAATCGTAGGTACCCGTTTACATCACTGAAATAGCACCAAAAAAATTGCGAGGAGCTGCTTCTGCTTTGTCTCAGGTAAATTAAGATAACCAAAATCTTGACTCTGTTATTGAAACTGTATAATTTTTCTACATTACAACATTTTCTTCAGTTATTTGTTGGAGTTGGTATATCGGTCTTATATGCACTTGGAACAGTTGTTGCTTGGCGCAATTTAGCCATTTTGGGTATAAAATTCAGACTTTCTTTATTTTCTTAAAAAGAAAAAAAAAAGCACTAAAAGTTGTGTTTTGTCTTTCGACAGGAGCTATACATTGTCTTATTACTGCGCCTCTTCTTTTTTGCATCCCTGAATCGCCTAGATGGCTAGTAAGCGCATAATTAATTTAGAAGAAAAATATTTATGTTTGTACAGTTTAAATTTCTAATTTTATCTTCAAAGAAAATAGAGAAAATGACTAGAATATCACTAAAAAAAGTTTTTGTCACAAATATAGCATTTGAAAATAAAAATGATCAAAATAACATTTAATGTTTTATTAAATATACATTTTTACTCTTTGGGTTAACTAATTCTAATTTTTTTGTTTAGAGTTGAGAAGTGGCGTTTTGAGAATAGGGTTTCAAATTTAAAAAAATAGAAAAAACTAAAAAATTTCAAAATAAAAAAATGCTATTTTGGTTATTTGAGAGAATTTCCCAAGAAAATATAACATAAAATGTGTTCGTAGGCTAAAGTAGGGAGGGAAAAGGAGGTCGAAAATGTTTTGTTAAGCGTGCGAGGAGTAGGATCCGATGTATCAGATGAAGCAAAAGAGATATTAGTAAGGATATAAAAATATATAATTATATGTGCATGAATAACATATAATCTGTGTCTATCGTTGATTGTTCACATTTATTTCCTAACATTACGATGATGATCAGGAATACACCCGACAAGTTAAAGAACAAGACGTGAATGGCCGTGGTTTCTTCAAGCTGTTTCAGCGGAAATACGCTTTGCCACTTGCGGTTGGTAACTCTCAAGGAAATAAAAAACAAACTTGAAATCATATTTTGTACATTTTCTTTGATCATATTTAACCCTTTACACAGATTGGAGTAGTTCTTGTATCTTTGCCTCAGCTTGGAGGTCTTAATGCTTATACGTTTTACATTGACTCCATTTTTACCTCTACTGGTAAACAAAACCTTTTTGTTCTTCTTCTTCTTCTTCTTCAATATAGCTTCATCGAAAAAGTCAATAATGATCCTTTAATCAGGTGTATCGAGTGACTTTGGACTCATATTGACTTCCATTGCTCAGGTTATACTGATAAAAAAGATAGACGCATAAATAAATTCCTTTAAAAAAAATTTCTGTAAAACATTTGGATACATTACCTTAACCGTCTTTTATAACACATCACTGCAGTTGGTTGGAGGCATTTTAGGTGTTGTGCTTGTGGATGTATTCGGAAGACGTTCCCTCCTACTGGTAAAATACAATTTAAAAGTCGTAACTTATAGTGTAAATAACCGAAACGATAGGTAATTTTGATTAGTTTTGATGAAAACTTGGGAGAATTAATTTTGAGTTGTTGTAGGTTTCTCAAGCTGGAATGTTCTTGGGGTGTCTTGCAATGGCCATTTCGTACGTCTTGCAGGCACGCTTAATTAGTAATCTATATATATACTTCTCTACATTTGGATTTAATTTGAAAAGAGATTAATGTAATATCTTTGGTATTCTTACTTAGCAGAAGAACAATTGTTGGGAAACAGTATCACCTACCTTGGCTCTCATTAGTGTAATGGTAAACTATCATTAACTAACTTAATTCAAAACATCATTTATTTAGACAATGCCAAGTTAAAAAGTTGTGTTTTTCCTATACACTAATTTATTAGGTGTATTTTGCATTGTACGGATTAGGCATGGGACCTTTACCATGGATTGTAGCATCAGAGGTAAATTAATTAAAACTTCAACAAAAAATTGATCACTGTAATCTAAATGTTATTTCATTGTAATTTTTATTACATAGTTCTATTTTTTTCCATTTCTTTGTTAGATTTATCCAGTAGACGTGAAGGGAGCTGCAGGAACAATGTGTAACTTGACCAGCTCGACAAGCTCATGGCTCGTTACTTACTTCTTCGGTTTCTTGCTTCAATGGAATTCAACAGGTATTCTTATGTAATGTATAGTTAAATGTTTATTATAACTAGAATTAATGATCTTCTTAACTGGGAAAACAAATATGTTGTAGGAACATTTATCATCTTTGCCACAGTGATATGCCTTGGATTTGTGTTCACAGCCAAGCTTGTTCCAGAGACCAAAGGAAAATCTTTAGAAGAAATTCATTCTCTGTTCTATTATTCTCCTCCTGAAAATTCTACAAAATTCTAAAAAAATCTTTAGAAGATTTTAGCTTTAAAAATTTTAAGCCTCAAGCTGTATCCGACTTAATAAGTGTTTGTTGGCATGGCTTTTATGATGTGGTCATAGTGAGTTGATGGCTTAGATTTAGCCGAAATATACGGATATTCGTTCCTGATATTATCCCAGCTTCGCAAGTCTTTTGTATCATTTCTTTCACATTCTTTGTTCGAGCTACGAGCTTTGGTGGGTATGCTTGTCATTCGTACAAGTAGAAATGTCGATTATAACCACAAAGTAGTCATTAGAAAAATATGGCTTTTCAAAAAAAGGTCACGAAAAAGCCAAAAGTCACGAAATGCAAAACATGACTATCATATCTAATTTGAGGCTGTAAAAGCTAAAGAAATGTCACAAAGCAAAACGTATACCACAGTTTTCCATGATTATTTCGTGACAAACCACGAAATAAAACGCGGTTAAACTGTGGTTAGTCCAGGAAAATATATTTTTGCGACACCTTAGTTTTTCATATAGATAGAGGGAGAGTTGCAGTTTTTTTTTTTTTTTTTTTGACATCAAACGGCTGATCTATTACTCGAACAACTTGAGGTAGTCTGGGTAACCAGACCGGAATAAAACAACCAACATACACAAGTTTACGATAAAAGGACCTAGCTATCTTAGCTAAAGAATCAGAAACGTCGTTCTGAACTCTAGGAACATAAAATATCTTGAAGTCAGGAAAACATATCTTCAGTGTCATCAATTTTTCCAGTTCCGTTGAGAAGCTAGGCCATGCATAAGGATTCTTGAGCATTTCGATCATCTCCTTACAATCAGTTCCAAAACTCTGACATGGCGAATGTTGAAGCATGTTCTCCATTGCCCACCGCAGTGCTTCTAACTCTGAATGCAACGCCGATTCCACTCCATCAAAATTTCGTAGCCCCAATAGCTGACTATTTCCAGAAGCATCACTCAATACCCATCCACATCCACTGAATGAATTCGTTGAAGCCCAAGATCCATCCACCATGCATATGTTACCCAATCTTAATGCCTGGTCCTCATCTATTCCGTCCCCAAGGGAGGACAGTATATCCTGCTCATTTGCTTGGAACCATGTTTGGCATTCACTTTCCACATAGCGCGATACTTCCAATGGATCCCTATCAATGCCTCTGAATAGTTTATCATTCCTAGCCTTCCAAATGTACCAGATTAGCCAAGGAAAAGGACCCCTGTCCAATTTTGGTTCCATTATTGTATTCTTCCTCCAGAATAGGTAGTCCATATTCGCGTACGCGCTTTTTACTGGAAACGGGGCGGGATTGGTAGGCGTAGATGATAGTGCCCAAACTTGTAAGGCAGGTGGGCATTCGAATATTGCATGTGTGATCGTTTCCTCGGGTTCCCCACATCGAGGGCAGTGGTTGTCACATCTCATATGTTTGTAGTTTAGGATGCTGGTAACAGCTACATGTCCTGTAATCAACTGCCACATAAGATGACAAATCTTTTGGGGAGCCCTGACCTTCCAAGCATGTGCTTGGAGCTTTGTGATACTAGGCTCACATACTTCAGCTTCATCCTCCTTCCTCAAGATATTTCGTGCTACCCAGTATCCAGATTTACCTGTATACTGTCCAGTCTTCGTATAACTCCAGCAATACGTATCCTGTCGATGCGTGGAACTAATGGCCATACTCTTAATGAGTGGTATGTCATCAAGATCGATATAATCTCGAAGTCGGCTGTCATCCCAAGTCCTCGTTGTTTGGTTAATCAAGTCGCTCACTCGCATATTTGGGTGGAGAACCGGTGCCAATGGGGTTGCTAATTCCTAACAATAGCAATTCTCTTCCGGCCGAAATGCTTGTCCACACATATGATGGGCTGCTAATACTGATTTGACGCAAAGGCGTACTCAATCTATAGTACCGGCCTCTCAAAACGCGAGCTACCAGAGAGTCCGGGTTCTGTACCAGTCTCCATAGTTGCTTTGCTAGTAACGAAAGGTTAAACTCATGGATCATCCTAAGGCCAATTCCGCCTTCTTCCCTGGGAAAGCATAATTTATCCCATGTTGACCAGTGAATCCCCCTTTTTGGCGGGTCTGAGCTCCACCAGAACTGTGCAATGGCACTAGGTAAATTCTCGCAAATCTCCAAAGGGAGAAGGAAACTAGACATTACATACGTCGGAAGAGCAAGCAAGATTGATTTAATCATGACTTCTTTCCCGCCTTTAGAAAGTCATCTGCCAGTCCATCCATTTACTCTACTTCTCAACTTGTCTTTAAGAAAGGCAAAGAGTTTAACTTTAGACCCACTAATATCCTCTGGTATGCCTAAACATGTCTCCATTCCTCCTTTATTTTGGATCCCGAGTGTGTCTTTGATTTCCTCTTTCACATCTTGGCCAATTCTTTTACCAAAGAGTAAAGAAGACTTATCAAAATTGATACATTGTCCTGAAGCTTGTCCATATACCTTGACCACTTTCAATACTTCTTCACATTCACGGGGCTCCGCCTTACCGAAAAACAGACTATCATCAGCAAAGAGAAGATGAGATACCGAGGGACACGCACGCATGATGCGCATCCCCGTTATCTTTCCTTAGTTCTCTGCGTGATTTAGAAGGTTAACGAGCGCTTCCGTGCACAGAATAAAAATGAAAGGGGACAGAAGATCTCCCTGTCTTAGACCTCTCTCCGGAACGATACTAATCTACTCTGTTGGAACTCTAATTACATGGGTCACTACACTTGTGATTAGTCAACTGTAATGAATTTTTTAGATCCTTTACTCTGAGAAAAAGCTTATTTCAACGCCAACAATTTTCATCATGTTTTATATGACTTGAAAAAAGTGATCGGTGTTCAAAACGACCTCAATTCGATTATAACTCAAATAAACTTCCTAAATTTTTTTAAACATATCTAAATCTACATTAACCTTAACACAAGTCAAATAATCATTTATTCAATTGACAGTACATATGACATAAAAAAAATTGGTAATTCGAACCCACTCTCTAACACTTACTTATCCAACAACTTTAACGATGATTTTTTTTTTTGTAATGATAACAAAGTTTAAAATTCCTTATATTAAAAGAAAAACTTTTTAAAAGCTAAAAAAGTATGTAAGTTATTAACAAAATTATCATTATGCTGATGTGTCAGCTTAATAAGCTTTCTCACATCTCCGGTATATTATTTGGGGATCATTTAAAAAATTGTAACCTTAAGTTTGTATTAATTAAAAATAACCCCAGTCATATGTGACATATATTTTTGCCTTCTAAATTATATTTAAAACAATTCTATAGAACCTTACATATACCATAATTTAAACATATATTTACTAGAAAAATGTTGGTCATATATTTTATTAATATTAAAAATTTATTATTCATTATTTCCTTAAATAAAATCTATGAAATTACCTAATGTGATTAAAAGATATATGACAATTAATAATTTTAGTAATAAGATTTGCTAACAATTTTTATACCCTCTACCATATTTGTTTAAATATTTATTATTAAAATAATTTACACAATTATATTATTTATAATACAAATTTATATTTTTCGTATATATTGTATTTTGAATTTTTTAAAACGGATATATATTACTAAATTGTTAAATATCTCAAATACATTTTTTGTGATCGATAGTTTAAATTTTTATTATAATAAGATACAAATAATTATAAAATACATGAGTAAGACGTCTTATTTAATATGTTTATATTAATAGGTATATATATATAATTTAAATTAAATTACATACATATAAAATACATACTTTTATTTTGATATTTTATTGAAAATTATTGAGAATCTAATATTTTAATTTTAAAATTTACATTCAATTTTTAATATTTCAAATTTTTCTGTAAAAATATATTGATAATCATAAAACCTTATAATGAGAAAATTCATTTACTAAACATCTATATTTAAAATATATTATAGATATTGTTAATGTCATTTAATTTTAATTACATACATATAAAATACATACTTATATTTTGATATTTTATTGAAAAATATTGAGAATCTAATATTTTAATTTTAAAATTTGCATTCAATTTTTAATATTTCAAAAAAATTTATAAATATATATTGATAATCATAAAACCTTATAATGAGAAAATTGATTTACTAAACATCTATATTTAAAATATATTATAGATATTGTTAATGTCATTTAAATTTATTTGTATCTAATATATGATGGATAAAATGATTGTGTTGATTTATTTATCATAAAATGTTTGTTAATAAATAAGAATAATCGTTTGATTTAAATGCACACACCAAATCCTCTACATATTAACTTAGGATCATTTGAAAAGTTATAACCTTAAGTTTGTACTAATTAAAAAATCTTATCTTATGTGGCAGTTCTTTATTGAATTCTACTTAGAAGAATTCTAGAGTAACTCATATAAAACATAAGTTTAAAAAAATATATGTTTGTTTCATATAAGACATATAACCTTCTATAAGCCGGGGACGTGGCCAAGAAACCTACACTCCAGCAGACTTCCCCGTTCTTCACACATCTGGAGGAGCTTGCCAGAATGGCTTGGTAAGCAAGCAACAAGCGCCCATTGCCAGTTCTTTTTCTTCTTTCTTTTTTTAGTTTAGTGACAGCTCTAGACGCTATAGCTTCTGGTCGAAGCACTAAAAGAAAAACACCGGGAAATGCAGCAGCATGGGAACCACGGGACCCCCACCCTATTAGTAACTAAATAACATATTAAATTAAATCTCCTATATATTATTTTCTTAAATAAACTTATGAAATTATCTAATGTGATTAAGATATATATATATATATATATATATATATATATATATATATATATATATATATGACTATTAATGATTTTAAATAATAAAGATTTGTTAACAATATGTATACTTTATATCAATTTTTTTAATTTTTTATTATTAAAATAAATTACACAACTACACTAATCATATAATAAAAATTTATAATTTTTTAT